TTGTGTTTATACATGCTGGCCTATTTAATTTCGTATAAGAGTGGGTGATACCAACCTCCTCTATGCAGAACTCCAAAGCTCCCACTTTAGCTATTAATAATAATTTTGGTTGCAGTTATTAATTTAATTATTAATTTGACTGGGGGTTGCTATGCCTTCTTCATTGTAAGGTGTGCTAGAAAACATAAAAAATACACACACAGGTTCAAGGGATTTGTTGACATACTGTTCTAAATGTCTTTTTTTTTCACACTGTTAGATACCACTATATGACATTGTGTTGGAAAATCTCAATAAAAAGCTTTGGAAACCAAAAAAAAAGTACACACACAGCAGGCCTATATCTCAGCATTTGGTTTACTTCTGTGAAGAAAAGTAATTGGAAAGTAAAGGAAATTGACAAATAGAACAATGCCCAAGCGTCAGGGAAAAGAAACAATGAATTTGTCAAAAAAAAGAAGCCTAGTAAGTACGGATGTCCCGAGTCATATAATATTGAGTATCTGCTAATACCAAATCCTGATCAGATACTTTATTTATTTATTTTTGAGATTACATAGTCCCCCAGTGCACACTTACACACACAAGTATATTAAAATCAATCCAATGTATATGCTTGACAATTAAATAGCTCTGCATTGGATCAAGAAACCAAATTTATTATATATTTATTTAAATACTTTACCTTATAAAATAACAAACCCTCTGTAATCTCTTTTGGTCTGGAGGGAGTTTCAGTGTTTGGTGCTTAGGTGCAGCTTTTATCTGAGTTACCTGAATAAACTGTACTTTGCAGACTGTTTATTTCCGTCGTCTCTACATCATTAATTACTCTTATTGGGTTTTTGTTGAGTGTGGTTGTGTCGGATCTCTACCATCTCTCCTCCTCCGAGCAGAGGCTGCCTTTGCTCTCTCTCACACACACACAAAGCAAGTGCTGACGATGGTTGCACCATGCATGAAAGATTCCTGAGTAACAGCTGTGTGACAGCTGAGGTATCAATACAGCTCAATATAGCCGATGCCAATCATTGAGATTGGATCCGGAGACCCCTACTAGTAAGTATGCATGAATGATAAGAACATAATATAACATTATACAGACAGAGAATTGCATAAAAAGTTCCCTAAATAAAAATCTGCTAGATATTCATCAAAATCACTTGTTTTACACACACGTTTTGTAGTTGCTGAGTTCACTATTTGGGTTAATTGTTAATTGTAATAATGTGTTTTGAATATAACATGAAATATTCATAAAATGTCAATTAGTTAGGGGTCCGTTTATTAAATGATAGAAAAGGAGTCCTTTTAGGAGAAAGGTTGGAAACCACTGGTCTAATGCATCCTGACAGATATCTTTCTCAGGGCTTCATCAGCTGAATTCAGCAACCCCCAACTACAGTCACCTGCTGTGTGGTTTTAATGTATGTTTAATGTCACTACACGCATGTTCTGTACGGCTGCTTGTGCCCTTATGCAAGCGCAGGGTTGAACTGAAAATCCCCCTCACCTTCATCCTCAAAACTCCTTCACTGTTACTATGCAAAAAAGAAAAGTATGTCCCAATTTAAACCTCCTTTTTAAATCAATTGCAGCCCTTCAGGCGCAAACACAGTGATAAGAGGGTCAGCCAATCAGCGATGTCTGACCAAAGAGCTTTTTAAAATTACAGTGGTGACCTGAGACTGACTGATAACACAAGAAGAAAGGCTATCATTGTCAAGCAGGATGGACCTTAGATTCCCTGAGTGATTGTTAAGTGATTGAAGTTGGGGGGGCTTTGTGTTTTTTTTCTCATTAGTCTAGATGCCTAGAATACCCGACATCATATAACAACCATTTATGATGACATCCTTTATATATATATATATATTCTATACAACATTACAACAAAAGGACTCAAATATCATAAAGTACTCACACACAGCAGGAACATACATGAGAGATAGTGACTTAACACAGAAACAGTCAGACTGTCAGCTAAATTAACAGAAACCACCAGACCAGGTAATAATAGTTCATTAAAATGCAGTGCAATGAGAATAGTCCTTATCTGCAAGGGTCACATAGTGCCTCTGTCAGCAGTGAGCCTATATATTTACAGTCAGATGCCCAAGAGATAATCGTTGCGTGTTCTTCAAATGTTTTTCATTCTGTATCATATCAGATTGTCTCTCCCGAGCAGCCACTCACGGGCTGCTGGTTTTGAATGTGTACGTTCAAGTATAGTTGCCATAACGCACTGTCGCGATGGGGGTGGCCTCTGAGTGAATCCTTCATGGGCTAAAAATCCGATTGACCTCAAAGCCAGCTCTAATACTGTCCAAGCAGCGATTTCTTCTTTTGCCGCAGCTTCGAGGTGAAAACATAACTTTAAGTGCTCTTAAATTTTTTCCCCAGCATGGCACCGGTTTGAAAAGCCTCCTATCTCAAATGTGTTGTCGGTTCTGACCTCTCCTGACCTCTTTTCAAAAGCAACATATGAAGCACAGGGCTTTATCGATCTCTTTCACAAAATGAAGCCATTTCTATTGCTGAAAAACCTGTTTTGAATGATCTTGAGAACTATTCGTTACCAAAAACACCCGGCTGGAAAATCAAACTCCTTTGGCTGGAGAGGCTCACTGAGTGGACCATTCGAGGTGTCAGCAGTTGTGGGTTTAGTAGCCGTGGGCGCCACGTTGGGCTTGTTAGCTGGACTGGGGTTACCTCTCACATGTCAGGGCTGGCATGCTCAGGGTACAGGGAACAGGGTCACAATGACCACATTCTGCTGCGGTCTTATAGCTGGCTTTGGCTAGCCAGATTAATATCGTCTCTCTCACTGGTGCTTGGGTTGAAAAGTTGGGCAGGATGATTATGAAAAAAACGACTGAGTCGGTGAAATTCGATGGGACCAGGACTCATAAAACGATTCAAGATCCTTCTCTGTGACATTATTCAGAAAAAAACAGAACAACTGCTGTGGAGCAAGCCTGAGTTTGCAAGAACTGGCTATGTACACCACAGAGGGATATACAGAGTGTGTTTTGTAATGAATCTTTAACGACCAAATTACAAGACATAAAAGCTATATTTGCCACAAATACTCCAGGGCAGACACTTTATCCAAAATACTGAAATTAAGGTCCAAGTCCAAGGCCACGTGGGATCTACAGTAATCACATTGCTCTCTAATCCTAATTACATGTGGCAGTGTGTCTGTGAGTGAATAGCTGCTTGTGTGTATGTGTGTGTGTAGGGTGTATGTATAGGAGACATGCAGGAGAAAGTAAAAGTGAGAGGTTCCAGAAAAAAATAATAAAGAGATAAAGATAAATGGATTAAAGACATCACATCAGCTCAACTCTGTTTCTTTAGACTGATCTAGGTGTAGAAAATGTCATGCCTCTGTATAGCCAACATAAAAGAAACATCAAACAAGCGTGTTTAATTTGATCTACTGACAGTGGGTGTGATACGGTTGTTTTTGATGAGACTCTATAGCTTTTTTTCATTTCAATCTGTTCCTGAATCAGATCAGAAATGACTTGACTTGGTTCCTCAAATCAGCTGCCAAAAAAGGGAATTCAATAAAGAGAATAACTACTATTAAATTAGCATTCCCCCCGAAAACTTTAAGTACTTTGTGTAAAACTGTGAGTTTCTGACCTTTTCTTGATCATTCAGTTTCCTGATCACTTCTGACAAACCGTCTAACACAACATGAAACGCTCTCTTCCTTTGAGCTCCACTTCTTATTCTGTATCTTTGTCTTCTTGTGTTTTCCTGTGCACATGTAAAGGTGATTTCAGGCCTCCACCTTTCACATATTTCACTGATGAAAGAGGATTAACGAAGAGTGAATGTTTCACTTCACATCAGTCATAGGGACACAATATTTACACTCTGCTGTAGATTACAATGCTTATGCGGGATCACTTTGACCTGAATAGGCCTGATTATGGAATCAGGGGTCAGTGAGTCTGAAGAAAAAAAGAGGACCAAAACAGAAAGATAAAGAATCACATTAAAATAGATTCTGACTGTAAACAACCATGAAACATCCTAAAATAATAATAATAATTAAAAAAAACTGCACAACAACCAGATATGACGTCATCAGATTTTGGGGCAAATGTTTTATAACCTGAGAGTTTTAACACAAACTCATCATATTTTATTAAATAAAAAAAAAAAATAAAAAACTCAACATGATGACCAAAGACTGGACTTTAAGGTGTTTGTTTGTTCCACAGTGGACAGTAAATCATCAACGTGTGATCGGACATTTATTAAAAACATTTGTTCAATTACATGGTTTCAACATTACATCGTTTGGCAATCGATCAACGAGGAGGGCATCCCGCTAATATGGGCCCGCTGCCGGTGTCACAAACATCAGTGTCGGCTTTCTGGCTTCGCCTTTTAAAAACCGAACTTCACAGAAACACCAGAGTGAGATACTAGCCTGAACGCACGCACGCACACACACACACACGCACACACGCACGCACGCACGCACCAGTATTGTAGAAAAATAGAGTGGTCACTAATTGAATCCAGTTTCAACTGATTCAAAACATTTCCATACAAAAAAATAAAGACAATCGCTATCAGCAATCAATTAAGGTCGAGACGAGCACAATATAACAGCCTACAGCCTAAAGTTAGGCTTGAACATGACTTTTAGGCTATTTGTCAAAGAGTCCTGAATATCTTTACGCAAGAAAAAAAACAACATAATGTGCCATGTGTGAACATTTGATAGCAGCATCTGAATATTTTGCACTGTGAGTTGGACATTGAAGCAGAATGGGCAGAGCATCAGGCAGTTCAGCATCTTTCAACTACACATGGAGAACTGCTCTTTGGGAATTCACCACATCGTTCCTGTATTGCTCCAGCCAGTTTCTAAGCTCGGAAATCCGGTATCCCTCTGGACCTCTGCCCCCCTGGTACACAACCCTCTCATCCCTCACAATGTAAAGTCTCTCAAAGTAAGCTCCGTACGCGGCGTTGGATGAGTTGTCCATATTATCCACCACCACGTTGCTGCCCGGCACCTCGGTGAGCATCAGCTGAGCGGCTCTCAGTCTGTCCTCCAAGCAGCGGTGCTTGGGGATCTGATACGGAGCGTCCGAGCTCACCCAGCCGTCCGATGGATGCGCCTCCTCGATATATACAACTAAAAAGTCCGCAATGTCTGCGTACTGGCTCACGACGCGCTGAAACGCCGCCAGGCGCGTCATGAATGGCGGTCAGGAGCAGCTGCCAAAGTTAAGGATGAGCGGTCTCTTCCCTTTCATACAATCCAGGATCCGGACCTGCTTCCGCTCTTGGACCAGCATCACCTCGGTGTTGGGCGCAGCGGACCCGAGGTGCGCGGATTTGAGAAAGTCCAATTTCT